GTGTCGTCAGCAAACATAATTGTCATTAAATTAGATGCTTCATAAAGGTCGTTTATGTAAATGAGAAATAGAAGAGATCCTAGGACAGACCATTGAGGAACTCCGCATGTTACATCTAACAAGTTTGATTTTGATGATACGTCATAGTGAACAAATTGCTTTCTGTTACTTAAATAACTTTTTAAAAGCTTCAAAACATTGCCAGAGATTCCATAATATTTAAGTTTTTTAAAGACAATTTTATGATCTATCGTATCAAAGGCTTTAGACAAGTCAATAAAAATGCCTAAAGTAAATTTGGAACTTTCAAATGATTCAGTAATATATTGTGTTATTTGGAGTATAGCGTGTTCAGTGGAGTTATTTTTTTTAAACCCATATTGATTTTTGTATAGGATATTATTTTGAGAAAGATGATTAAAAATTTTATTATAAAGAATTCTCTCTATAATCTTTGAGAAAACAGAGAGAACAGATATTGGTCTCCACCTTTAAATATTGGTGAAACTCTAGCTATTTTTAATTCATCAGGAAAAATTCCTTGTTGAATTGAGCATTTAAATATTTTAAAAAGGATATTTTTTATGATATCATATGAATCAATGACAATGTTTCCATTGATATCATCAGGACCGACTGCTTTATTTAACTTTAGCATTTTAAAAGCTCTATCAAATTCATCAAAAGACAATTCAAAAGAATTTAGATAAGATATTAAAGGAAAACTACATCTGTTTATTGTTTTGTTTATGTTTGAAATTTTTTTTGCTAAATTTGGTCCAACTGAAGTAAAGAATTTATTCATTTTATTAGCTACCACTCCTGGATCATCAAATATTTTATTATCAATTTTAATAGCTTTAGGTAAAGAGCTAGCTTTCAATTTCTTACTGCCTGTAATTTCTCTTAAAACTTGCCATGTTTGCTTTGAATTATCTTTATATTTTTCTAGTAAATTAATGTAGTATCTTTTTTTTAAATTTTTTCTTTGCATTTCAAATTTTTTAGCGTAATTCTTATAAATTGTTTTACTTTCTAATGTTCTCGTTTTTAAATACTTTATATACAACTTTTGCTTAACTTTAGAACTTTTTCTTAGATCTTTTGTAATCCATGGTGACGTGAAATCTTTATTTTTTTTTTAGTATTTTATGTTTAGGAAAATTAATATCATAAATTTCAAAAAATGTTTGTAAAAACGAATTATAAGCTAAATTAGCATCATTAGAATCTATATGTTTCCAATGAAGTAAAGATAATTGTTCCTTAAAAGCAAAGCAATTCGCTTCCGTAAAAAAACGTTTGATGAAAGGTTTATTATGGTGTAGAATTTTTTTGATGTTTGTGTTTATGGAGAAAAAAATGGGAAAGTGATCAGAGACGTCACTTTTAATAATACCTTTTTTTAAAGATAAGTTAAAAACGTCAGTTGTAATTATATTATCTAATATAGAGGCTGATGTTGATGATATATATTCTGGTAGGCTTATTTATTAACGGTATCGCTCCAATTTCGAAAATGTCATTGTAAAACTTTTTAATGTTATTATTAGTGTGGTATTCAAAACAGTTTAAATTAAAATCACCAATTATGTAGTTTAATTTCTTTTCATGTGAACTTTTTTTAATTATATCATTATGTAAAAAGGCATTAAAATCCTCAATTACTCCATTTGGTGGGCGATAACAACAACTTAAAATTATATTTTTTGCATTTTTAGTTAAAATTTCAATACTTAAAACCTCTTTATCGCCGTCAGAAATACTTAAGTCTGGCCTGTTAATAAACCGCAAGTATTCATTCACGTAAAAAAGAATACCACCACCTTGCTTTTTATTTTTACGCGCTAAAGAAATTAAATTAAAACCTGGAAGGTGGAGATTTGAGTTTTTAACATCATCAGAACTGCACCATGTCTCTGTAATGCATATTATGTTAAAAATATTAGAAGTTTCTTCTATATTACTATGAAAAGTATCAAAGTTTTTTTTTAAACTTCTTATATTAAAATGAATAACATTAAGAAAATCCCTATTAAGAAAATCTTTCAATTCATTGTTATAAAAATAAGAGCAGTTTTGCAGAGCACCTGCTTCACTAAAATAATTTATGTCAGGATCGGATTCATTATCAAGTAAAAAATCATTAATTTGAAAAAAGTTAAATGAAATTGACTCAAAATTTAGTTGGTTTGAATCCATTTCAGAATTTAAACTTGTTTTATAATAAATCAAGTTAAGCTTGTTAATTTATTATAAATTTAGCACAAAATATTTTATTTCTTACGCAGAATAACAACTAACGAAAAAAGATAACCGAAAACAAAAAAATTTTAATTGCAATGCAGCCAAAGTGTTTTAAATGTTGTAAACAAATCACAAAAATGTACCTTCTTTTGTGTGGGTATTTTTTTTTATATTGAAATGTTTCTATTTGTGTTCAAAATAATAATTTCGGTAATTAATTCAAATCTAAACTTATTTAAACAAAAAAAATATATAATGACCTAAAATATAGAAAGAACTGATAGTTTAATAAAAAAATTGTTGCTTAGGACCACAGCCATTTTTCAATTTCTCAGGATTATAAATCTTACTGCGCTTCCGTATAATAACATCACTTTTTTCTAATATATAAACGACCGCGATTACTCACGGTCGTTAATATATTAAAAACGTGCACCCATACATTTCATCAGATGCGGATGAGCACACACACACGTTTTGTATCGTTTGTTAATATGGCATTATTTTGTCGAATGTTATCGTATTTTTCAATAAAATATGGCATTATTCTGTCTAATGTCATTGTAATTTTCAATAGAATAATTTCGATTTTCATAATTAAGGATAAGAATATGGGATCCTACAGGCTAAAACTGGCACTATGAACTTTAACCTCAAATTAGGAAATCAATCAATTTTTTTTCTCAAATTATCAATAAAAAATTAATTATACAAATGTTATATTCAAAAATCTTTGAAAAATTAAAGTTTTTTGTAGATTTTCATTTAAGAGAAGATACGGAGAAAAAGTAAGATGTACTTTTTGATAAAATAAAGACATAATAACTATGCTTTTCGATTTTATAAATTTATTTTGTTAAATCTTATTGAGACAAATATTTTTATATAAAAAATTATGTAATTATATTTGATATTGTCAAAACCAAGTTCTTAAAAATATTGTCTAGACAACATGGTAACGCTAAAAGTAATAAAAATAACAAAAGCAAAAACGAGTCTACGTTCTTACTTTTGTCAATTAGAATGGTTTGCAAAAAAAAAAAATCTGAACCATCAAAAAACAAGCGCAAGGAAAATGAAATTAGAGAAAAATTTTTATAGTTGTATCTTTTGAATACTATGAGACTCATAAATAAATAAACTCATAAATATAAATTTAGTTTGAAATGTTAAAAAAAAGAAATTATTTTTGTTGATTTTGCGTCTGGAGTTGCGGAGGCAACCCAGCAAACAATAGACGTCTTTTAGACCGTCTAAAATTGGTCTAATTTGTATCTATTGCCGATACGTATATTTTAGACGTATATTAGAGATCAAAAAGACGTCTGATTCTAGAGATACTATTTTTGCTCTGTTTTAGGTGCATATTAGATGCATAAAATAGATCGTGCATAGATAATTTTTTTTTCATCTAAACTTAGATGTCTATAAGATGTCTTATATAGATTTGTTAAAAAAACAAGAAAAAAATATCAACTAATTTTACGGAGCGACAATTATAAATGACCGCCATTTAAAAACCATGCTTAAACTTATTACGAAAAAAGCATGAAGATTTTAACCTATGGAAAACATTAATGATTATTTCTTTTGATAAATTTTAAATAATAAAATAACATGCTATTATAGTTCACAAAATATTTCGATGATTTGATGCTTAGCATGTTTGCTAAAATCCTTGTGATTTGAAATTTATTTTGCAGAAATATTACAAAATTAATATTTTCAAGTTGATATTTTTATTTCTAGAATAAAAGATAATGTAATTTATATATATATATATATATATATATATATATATATATATATATATATATATATATATATATATATATATATATATATATATATATATATATATATATATATATAAATATATATATATATATATATAAATATATATATATATATATATATATATATATATATATACATATATATATATATATATATATATATATATATATATATATATATATATATATATATATATATATATATATATATATATATATATATATATATATATATATATATATATATATATATATATATATATATATATATATATATATATATATATATATATATATATATATATATATATATATATATATATATGACTCATATATGAATCTTGGTTTCTCGATAAAAATGATAAGTGCACAACCAATAAAATAATCTTTTGTGTTAATGTTTTCAATAACACAAAAAATTGTTTTATTGGTTGTGCACTTATCGTTTTTATCAAGAAACCAAGATTCATTTATGTCTTTCACAAAAAGGGCATACGAAAAGAGACGCAGTAGACTTGTCCAAAAAGAATATTAAAAAATACTAGAATTTTCATCAGTACATATAGAAAAAAAATCGAATGTTGGAACTTCTAAAAAAATGATTTCTTATCTTGCGAAAATCTAAAAAAATATTTTGACCATCATGAGTCATCGATTTTGTACAATGAATACTCTTATGACCAAAAGCCTAATGAGTATAAGCATAACCCAACTTTAAAGGAAAGTTTTTCTGCATGTTTTTCTAACCAAGTAATTATGCACTAAACAAGTGGATTGACAAATAATACCAACAAATTTATTGTCCCAAAAAAAACTATAATTATGCACTGAAAAACAACCTTTTGTCAACAAAAGAATGGCACAAATTTCCATTGATAAAGTGTAAAATAACAGATAGTCAGTATCTAACTTGTTTTGTATTTTTTTTAAAGGTAACTTAATTACTTTTTTGTAGCAAAATGTTTTATAATTAGATTCATTTTCATTTTGTGAAGAATACAACTTTCTACATCAGATGAGATATATGTTAAAGAAAGCATTAAAAATAAGAGTAACAAATCATACCGCTCTTCATTGCCAGAACCTCCGCCACCTATTATGAATAAGCCCAATGCTAAAAGTATAACATAAATATCATAATTTTTTCTTAATAGTTTATAAACTGAAATAGATTCTTGTTTAATTTGATCTGAATAATATCTATCTAGCTATTAATCTTTTTTATGTATTACTAAGATTTTCCTTTTATTTTATCTATTTGGGTGTCCTATTATATGTAATGTTGTTAAATTGGTTACATATGTTTTTATCATTGACAACATTCTATTGTATTAAATAATCCTTTAATCAACTTGATATGAAAATTGAAAATTAATTGAAAGCATGCTGAAATTGTTTAAATTCAGAAATTGAAAGAGTACAAAATTGGTTGAAAGATTAAATTAAGTAACAGGTATGGTTGAGGGATTATTTATAGTTCTAATTATAATTATTTCTTTTGAATAGAGTTGTTATTAGATTCAAAGATTGAAGAAGATAATTTTTCTTCACGTTTTATTGATGAACACCAAGCAAAGTTCACATTGTCAAAGAGTTTTAAGTTTTAATGTGAGTAATTTTGGTTTTTACACCACTGAATGTTAATGTGGAGGTCTTTTTTATTTATTTGTTTTTGTATTAAATAATTGTAAAAGATAGGTATAAAAGAATAGAAATGGATTATTTATAATATTGTGATCCGATAAATCATGTGTGTAGCATTTTATCTTTAGTAGGTAAGCAAAATTCTTTAATATCGTAGCCTTTTACAGGATAAAGTTTTGGCTGATTTAAAAAGTAGGTTTTTTAAAATATTATGGCAACTTCTGCGATTACAAAACTTACAAAACTTACATGTATTTTTGAAATTTTAGTTTAAGTTACTCAAGCATAATTTGAATATTAAAGTTCTTATTTCATTGTTTTGCTATTTGGTTTTAAGAGCTAAATATGTTAATCAATCTTTTTATTCTTGTTTGCAGAGATGCAAAATGTTATTCTCAAGGAGCTTGCAGAAATAAAAGTTCTTTTAAAAGAAGTTATAGAAATTAAGTTTCAGACTACTGGGGTGAAGTTGCTAGAATCGGTGGACAAAGTGGTTACACTGGATAATAAACTAAAAGATAAAACCGAGTATACTAATTTGGTATAATCTAATTATCTTAATTTTTAATAAGTTTGTTTAAATTTGGTTTATTAGTTTAGAATCTAAATAAAAAGTATTTGTAAATGAACTAAAATAACTAGCTTGTGTTAGACTCAATATGTTGTAAAGAAATTTAAGTTACACTAGTTTTTATTACATTTATTTCAGCTTGATAGTTTAAAAAAGATTGGTGGTGGAAAGCCAAGAAAACATGTTTTTTTGATCATGAAAAGGTAAATGATTATGTTTTTATTAATTATTAGAAATATGATTAAAAGAGACCAAAAGCAATTCTTTTTGACCGTTATTTGTTATGGATTTACTTTTAACATGACAATTTGATAAACTCGGGAGCTTCGCTGTAGGTGTTTAAGTTTGTTTGTGTGCTAAAGTAAGTGTAATGCTAAACCTTGTTTAGCATTTTATTTTCAAATTTAATGCTTTTACCTTCCATAATTTTAAGCATTCATTTATTAAACTATATTTTAATTTATTACATATATTAAAATAAAAATCTTTATATATTTCAGTTTATTGTTAAAATATTTATCAGGTTATTTTCGAATCAGTTACAGTCCAAATTAAATTGAAAAGGAAATGGGGAAAAGATAAGCTTAGAAAATCTAGTAAATATATGGAGTGTTTTACGAGGTATAGTTTAAATAGTATTTACAAAACTGATATCTGTATTAAAAAGATATTCTTCGACTTTTTTGTGTCATGCTAGAATTTTTGTATCCATAATACAAGTTCCTTTAGTTTTTTCATAAAAAAATTGTTGTTTAATATTGTATCTGGTTGAGATACAAATCTTCTTGTTAATATATATATATATATATATATATATATATATATATATATATATATATATATATATATATATATATATATATATATATATATATATATATATATATATATATTATATATATATATGTATATATATATATATATATATACATATATATATATATATATATATATATATATATATATATATATATATATATATATATATATATACATGTATATGTGTGTATATACAGTATTGGACAAAAAATTTGCAACTAACATCGAACAATGCTAAAAAGTGTTCCTAATTTTATATGTCTTTAAAATGAAACGAACTATACTACCACAGCAAACAGTTTAGGAGTCTGGAGTCATAGCATGCCATGAAATGAGCAATCAGCTGACAGGTGACAGCACACAGGCAGAACTTCGTTGACAAGTGCCATTTTGCAGCATACATATATATACTGTGAAGCATGGTGGAGGCAATGTAATGGTCTGGGGGTGTTTTTCTGCTAATGGTCTAGGTCCAATACATCGAATTGATGGAATAATGGACCTTTTCATGTATAAAAATATCCTGAAAAATGTTATGTTACCTCATGCTGAATGAAATCTATCAATAAAATGGGTTTTTCAGCAAGACAACGATCCCAAACACACTGCAAAAGTAGTCAAGCAGTGGTTTCAAGACAACCATCTATTGGTGATGGATTGACCGCCTAAATCTCTGAATCTCAACCCTATCGAGAACCTGTGGGAGATCGTCAACCGCAGAGTTAATCATGAATGTGTTCGTAATAAGGATCAACTGTTTGAACAAATCCAAAAGGCCTAGGCAGCAATTCCACAGAGTTTCATTGATCACCTGATCGAATCTATGCCTTAAAGATGCAAGGCTGTGATCGACAACAAAGGAATCATCACAAAATATTGATATGAATACAGCTTGGTCAACATTTTGTGGAGTTGCACTTGTTTTGTCCAGAAGGAAATCAACTTTTTTTAATACTTTTGATTAATTTATTAATTTTCGTGTACAAATAATGAACTTTGTGATGAATAAAATTTGAAGAACCTTGTCTCTAAACAGTTAAATAGTTATTTCTCTAAATTGATAAAATACAGCACTTTTATACAAAGAAACTAAATTAGCATCATTTGGTTGCACTGGTTTTGTCCGATACTGTATGTGTGTATATATATATATATATATATATATATATATATATATATATATATATATATATATATATATATATATATATATATATATATAATATTTATATCTCTCCATCGCAGAAGTTGCCATAATATTTTGGAAAACCTACTTTTTAAATCAGCTAAAACTTTATCCTGTAAAAGGCTACGATATTAAAAAATTTTGCTTAACTACTAAAGATAAAATGCTACACACATGATTTATCGGATCACAATATTATAATATATATAATATTTCATAAAAATAGATTCAGAATTCTACATGTCTGTTAAAGTCATTTAAATGTCATTTAAATATAGTTTCTTATGTATATTTTTGTGAAATAAAAATTAAGTAATGTTAGTTAAAATGTTTCTTTACTTATTTAATTTAACCCTTTTTTATGATTAGTTTAACTGCTGTAACACCTTTGTATCAAACAAGTTCCAGCAAAGAAAGAGATATCTAAAATGCATCTAATATGCATCTAAAAACTGGTCTAAAAGACGTCTAAATTCACGTCGTGAACGGGACATAAATAGATGTCTATCTTATAGATGTCTTTTAGATGCATTTTATTCGACACAAATAAATGCCTAAGATGCATAAAAGATGTGAAATATACATTTAAAGATGTATATTAGATGTATATTAGATGCATAAAAGAGCTATTATTAACTAAAAAATTATCTATTATCTATCTTTTTTAAACGCGCCTAAGACATCTATTTAAGAGACGTATTTTATACATCTAATATGCATCTGTAAGATGTATATTTCACATCTTTTATGCATCTAAGGCAATTATTTGTGTCGAATAAAATGCATCTAAAAGACGTCTATAAGATAGACGTCTATTTATGTCCCGTTCTAGACCTGAATTTAGACATCTTTTAGATCAGTTTTTAGATGCATATTAGATGCATTTTAGATATCTTTTTGTTTGCTGGGAACGTTTTGGAGTTTTTCATACTTTATTCACTGGAATATTTTCCAAAGTATTTTTATTTTACAAAACAAAATAGTTTGGGAGTTTTCTTTATTCTAAAGGGCCTCAAGCACCAAGAATTGTTTTTGTTACAGCAATTTCAAATTGAGTGATAATAGCGTTATGTATGTATGTATGTGTGTATGTGTGTATGTATGTATGTATGTATGTATGTATGTATGTATGTATGTATGTATGTATGTATGTATGTATGTATGTATGTATGTATGTATGTATGTATGTATGTATGTATGAGGCATTTACTTCGACACATTAGGTATTGATATTTAAAATGTAGATAATATCACAATGGCTAAAAATGAAGGAAAAAGCCCACTCGCACGCAAAGATTGTAACATAAAATACATACTAAATCATTTACCAGATTCAAAAAATTATGAATTAATAAAAATTTTTAATTAACTCATTCTTAACAAGGCTGGAAGTAACCAATATTTAAGTTGTGAGTTACCAGTGAATAAAGAGTATTATTAAATAAAATAAAAACGGTTTACAGAACACTTCAAAAACAGTCAACCATATGAATTGGGAAAACATAAAGATGGGAGAGAGTTCAAAAGCATTGGTGTACGAGAAAAATTGTTTTCAGAGCATGAAGGTACAGATACAAAAAAAGGATGCAACTTTATTGAGTTACGAGTCAAACAAAAATGAGTTTTGATTGATGAAACTAAAATGATAGCTCGTTTAAGCTAATATTTGTAGATATTAGCACAAACGAGCTAATATCTACAAATTTTGAGCTAATATTTGTTGAGCGCACTTAATATCTTAAGTGCGTTCAGTTCATTATGCGATGTGCTCACTACATTATATAACGTGCTCATTATATTAAATATACTAAAGCATTATATGATATGCTAATATATATTATGTAATTACTACATTATATGATGTGTTCACATCAATATAGTTATTACATCATTATATGATGTAATGACTATTCTATAAAGTTACTTTATACATTACACGTATAGTTTATAAAATGGCAGACCATTAGCTAAAGAGAGTAATGCAAGATTTTGAAGTTTTTTCTCTGATTACAAACTTTCAACGGAAAAAGATAACTATTGATTTGATTTTAAAGTTGTTTTTGAGAGACGTTGAAGTATGAGGTGTTTCAAACAAACATTAAACGATAAATTAAAACTTAAATGTTGAATCCATTAGTCGAAACTGCTCCATAAGTATCCAAATGAAGATGGAAGACCTTTGAAGTTTTATATGCCTTTTCATGTGTTAGAGAAACTCTTAGAAGAAGATTTAACAACTAAAGACATTTCTAGGTTTCTAAACGTTGCTGAACGTTGTCAAACGTTGTTGAGAGAACTATTTACCGTCAAATGAACAATTACAATCTAAAAAAATACAATTTTTTTAATGTTACAAATGATTATTTTGATTCGCGAGTAGTTATATTAACAAACGAGTTTTCAAAATGCATTATGAAAAAGAATGCATAACCAAATATTAAAAGATCAAGAAATAAGTGTCGGAAGATCAAGAAATAAGTGTCGGAATATCAAGAAATAAGTGTCGGAAGATCAAGAAATAAGTGTCGGAAGATCAAGAAATAAGTGTCGGAAGATCAAGAAATAAGTGTCGGAAGATCCGTATTCCGAAAATCAATATTAAGAGTAAACGATTTAGGAAACCAAGAAAAACTTTATTGCATAATCTACAATGTAAAAGGGCCAAATCATCATGGCACGTTAATGCGAATCATAAGTTAGTATGTTGGTATTTTATAATAACAAGAGTTATAGATGGTTTTAATCGTTTGTCAGTTGCCTTTGCGTGTTCAACCAACAAAGCTAACACCGTATTTAATTGCTTTTTAAAAGTTATTAATGAATTTGAATTACCAAGTAGAGTCAGATCAGAAAAAGGTATGAAAAATGTATTTATTGCAGACTACATGGTTGCAAAACGTGAAGATTATGGAGGAACTATGTTAACAGGTAAGAGTATTTATAATCAAAGAATAGAAAGATTGTGAAGAGACGTTTTTTCTGGTGTATGCAACAACTATTATAAGCTATTTTATTACATGGAAGATAGTTACATACTCGATTCTTCCAATACACTACATTTTTCTTAAAAAAGTTAATGATATATAGAGACACGCTTGCGCAAATCATCGTATGTGGACGATTAAGACATCACCTTTAAAACTTTGGGTGAGCGAGCAACTCAATAATCCAACGAGTCTTGAGCTTAACAATAGCGAGTTTGAAAACTACAGCACAGAAGGAATTTTTCATGAATTTTTCAATTTTAATGAAGGTCCGATATTTGAAGCACCCTTTATAGACCAAGCACGTCATACTTGAAATTAGATAAAGTCCCTAAATTTTGATTTGACGTTGTCTCTAGTGTAACAATCTAAACAAGAGCTAGTCAAATAATACATTTTAACTTTTTTTTTAATAATTTTGCTAAAGGTGGCAAACTATTAAACCCACTTTTTAATATAGCAGACCAATTTAAAAATGTACATAACAAAATTGAATTATTTTTCAAATATAAATATGCTAGGAAAACTACATAAAAATATTATTTTTTTTCAAAATAAGTTAAAATTATAAAGCTCAACAATAAAAATCAAAGAAAAACATTAACACTTAAAGCATTTTTAGTCAAAAGTTTATAACATGTCAAAAAAGGCGTTATTGAATGCATAGACATAAAGTTGAAATAATTTTTCTTCAAAAGGTTTTCAAATTTTCGATGAAAGGTCTTGGTGAATTAAATACACTGGAACATGTATTTGAAGTTCGAATCCAGCTTTTTCAGCACCAATAAATAAAATGGGTGGATGAAGTTCATATCCTATCACAGGTTCTGTTTCTGTCACAAATTGTAACACTCTTTCTAAAGTAACGCTATTTCTTCTATTACCTTTAAAAAATATTTAAAATGAATGGAGTGAAATTAGGAATGAATAACATAATTAAGAAACTATCTAAAACTAGTTTTAAAAATGTTTAATAATAATACTTACCAGCATAAACCAATCGATATTAATATATTACCCAGCATATACTAATATAATTACCAGTAACTTCTAGAAGGTACTTGTTAAACTTAAACTTGTTAATTTTAGATTGAAACACATGGGTAAACACACAAGGTGCATTTTTTTGCTTGTCGTTGATGTTTTTTTCTACAAGAATTTCTAAGTCTGATTTTTTCAACAAGCGTGATAACTTTAAGTCTAGATAGCTCCTCATCAGAGGCAGCTAAAACTGATAAAATATCAAATTTTTCTGTTTTAAATCCGTTTATGCTATTTTGTAAACCAATGTTTGATAAAACATCAACTATCTCATTATCTGCTACAAAGGATGCCATCTTAAAAAATTAAACAAATTTTATAAAAAAACCCTTATCTAAATTTCACCCTCCGTTAAATCTCCTCGGTATAATGTGACGATCACATCATATAATGTAGTGAGCACATCATATAAGGTAATGAAGGCATCATATAATATTGTGAGCATACCGCATAATAAAGTAGCACTTCATATAATACAGTAGCATATCATATAATGTAATGACCGCACCGTATTATATAGTGAGCTCATCGTATAATGCATCTTTACACCATATAATGTAACGAGCACCTCATATAATGCAATGACCGCATCTTATAATGTAGCTATATCAGAGCAGCTTAGAGAAAATTAGAAAAAACTGAACTATCGAACACAAAGAAACAACTTTGACGATAAAATAGTATAGCGGTGCATTATTTATATACATTTTTAAAATTAGTAATTTTTAAATTGGGCTTAAAGTTCAAGATAGTTGTATAAAATTATATTTTTATACTTTATGATACTTTCTTACTATATAATTTTTTTCTTTTTTTACTTACGTCATTAAATTGTATAAAATAAAAAGTTTATAAACTATACACACGCTTTCTGTCAGCGAAAGTTTTATTGATGATTTACCTAAGTTTTGTACCATACATATTCATTAATTTGTTAATTTTTCAACTTACCACATACTATTGCTCAACTTACCCCGCTGGGTTAGGTTGAGCAGCTCCGCAAACTTTAGGCAATATTTTCTCAAAAAAATTAAAAACTATACTTTTTTGTTAACAAATTTTTAGCAGGTTAAATTATCTTTCAAATATTGAAAAAATTGTATAAATCTGACGCACCATTCATGAGATCTGTAGGTTTAGTAAAAATTGCTCATTTTTTTTTATTCTATTGTTTTTATACTTTTAATGTCAAACTTCCTTTATACTCATTAAAACTTGGAATTTCTAAATTTCAAAACAATTTGTTTGATAGTTAATGCAATCAAAAGTACTCTGGGAAAATCAAAAGTACTCCGGACAATATGGCGAAATACTTTCCTAACATCAAAAAAATGAATTAAAAAGATTTAAATTTTAATATATTTTATAAGGAAGTTTAAGTGGTTAGTTAATAAAAACTTCGTTGTATATGTAAAATCAAAAAGACCCAGAAGTATTAAGGCTTTATTATGCTTTTTAATTTTATAACCTCAATAACAAACAACCATATATTGCGTTGATAACCCTAACCCTAACCCTATTAGTAAGTTTTATACCTCCTTTGTATTATATACATTCACTCTATTGTGTCTTCTGAATTTATAACCCTTGAGTTACCTTTGTCAGTAAGTAATACAGATTCGACGCTAGATTTCAGGCCTTTACAAAACTACAAATTATATTTGTACGAAATCTCTTTTTTTAGCACAACTATTTCATTGCAGTAAAAAAAGGAACGTAGCAGCTTTTTTTGATTTGAGAACTTTTGAACATTAAAATAGTTGATGTAATTTAAAAGTTTGAAGTTTAACTCCGTGTCTGAGAACTACATATTTCAAACGCCATAAAAAGCTGCAAGGATTCCAGTATATGAGTTAAGTATTTGCTAAAAAGTTAACTAGAATTAATATATTTTTCGAAGCATTTAGTTTATAAACTAAAAGTTTCTTTTACCAACAGCTAATATTTAAAATTACAACAAATAAAAGTAATCATATATTGGACTTATTTTTAATTTGAATCTCATTTTTGAAACCTAAGTAATATACAAAGTAGTTATAAAAGGTAATTAAAAAAATTTAATTCGAACGAATACATATTTTCAAAGAATTTAGGTTAGATTTAAAACATAAGATTTAATTTTAATAGGAGCTCAATATATAATTTGTTGTAACTTTATTAATAAATTGTTTGTTATTGGCAAAAGAAACTTTTTCATAACTCAAGAAAACAAGTTTATATTTAACTTATTCATTTTCGAACCGCAAGCACTATTACGTAACCAAACAAATAAATAAATCATTCTAAAGTAACAGATTTAGAAAGAAGCATTTTTGTCATTTATATAATGTTCAAAAATGGAATTAAATTATTCATTATATTATCTGAAAATTATTAATAATAAGAAATTATTATTAATTATCATGTTACAAATGTTTTTGCTTTTAATTAGGATGAATTGCTGAAGATAAATGTCATGTAGTATTTGCAACTCAGCAAAAAAATATCATGAAAATTTTGAAATCATTTCTCCTTCTCCTTGTGATCCAAGATTCTTTAGTTATTGGTAAGTAATGTTTACAAACTTTATGATCATTGTTATTATTATTATTATCATTATTGCTATTACTATTATTATTTATAATAAAAATTATGACTTTGTATTACATAGTTTAAATAAATACTTTCTTTTTAATTTTAAGGTAACTAATTATTTGTTAAGCTAATTAATTAGTTATATAAACTATTTCTAAATAAATAAATGATAACATTTAATATTAATAATACTTGATATTAATTTGTTTAAGCTTAAATTATATCAAATCAAAATCAAATCAAATCAATATATTTTCATTTTAATAATACTGTGTATATATACAATCGTGCGGGACATTTACAAACAGTTATAAACCGATAACGTGAAAGACCTATAATGGTATAAATAATTGCATAATAATAATAATAATAATAATAATAATAATAATAATAATAATAATAATAATAATAATAATAATAATATGAAATAACAATAATAAATATTATTAATAATAGTAAAAATAAATGTTAATGATAGTAATATTAATAAAAATATTAAATACAGTAATATAAAACAGTATAATCTATATATATTTTACTACTATAATCAAAATAAAATATTTGTAGCAAATAGTGATTATCATTAATAATAATGCAAAATAAAAATATAAGAACCAAAATAATATAAATGACAAAAAAAAAAAAGAACAGATAAAAAGAAAAACAATAATTGGTTAGAAGTTTAACGATTAGGAAAGAAGAGACGAGGTAGGAGAAGTCCTAGGAGAGCTTTGTGTATTTTTAAGCATTGAATTTTAGAAATCATAGAAAGATAGAAATATTGAATATGCGTTAAAGTAAAATAAAGAAAATTAGAAAAAAATAAAGAAATAAATTAATAAAAAAACAAAAAACAAAACAAAAAAAATATGGTTGAAAAGAATTAAGCAGGGGCGATTGCATAGGAAATAGTTTATTATACATTTATTAGATGTCAAATGGTTTAATAACAATACCACAATCTTTTAGAGCCATATACACTTTATAGGATGATGAAAATTAATGTATTTGATAGTGACTTGATAAATACTTTTATTACTTTTAGAGTTTGATATTTTTGTTTTTATTTTATGAGTTTTATATTTTTATTTCTATTTTATGGGTTTTATATATTTATTTATGAGTTTTTATACTCTTATTTTATTAAAAATTTAGTTATAAAGAATAACTAGGGGGTGATTGCATAAATGATAGTTCATTAATTACTTTTATCGAGAAGAAACTTTTTTATATGGGTTATGAAGACATTTCTACTTGTCATTTTGGATAATATTTTTTTAGTTACAATTTTTTTTAATTGATTGATACTTGATTGATTTTATGCCATACTTATGTGTTAGTTTTAAAGGCTTAGAGAAAATACATTAAGATAAAGTCCTAAGTTTATAACTATAAATATCATTTGTAAATTTAAAATAGCTAGTGAAGCAACTGGGAATATTATTGTGGACTATGTCCCATACAAGTACACAGTTTGATAAGTAGATAGGTTCGTCAAACTTTAAAATTTTAGAAAATTATATAGTAATTCAGAACTAAAACTGTTAGGTTGAAAGTGAATTACTCTTGAATGATTTATTCTGGAGATTTATAAGGTTTTTTTTTTTTAAATGGATGAAGTTTGTCCTCATATCTGACAACCATAGCGTAAATGGTAGTTAAAAATAACATACCGAATATTCACAAGGGTTTCATAATTCACAAAATACCTTATTTTGGTTAGCATTCCATGTGCTCGACTTAGTTTGTTTGCTATGGATTTAATTTGTTGAATGAACAAAAGATTTTCATCTAACAATATGCCTATATATTTTATTTTATCTACAATATTTAGTTTTTGACCACTAATTCTAAAATATTTTGGTAATTTTTTGTGCCTCGAGGTTTAAATAGAACTAATTCAGTTTTTTTGACATTGAGAGATATTTTGTTTGATCGCAACCATTGGACCAGTGATGCCAAGAAATAATTTAGGTACTTATTTAGCTTTTTTAAAGACTTATCTACAATCAGGAGGTTAGTGTCATCAGCAAAATGATACACTTTTGAATACTTAATACGAGTGTTTAAATCATTTATGTAGATAAGGAGTTGAACCCTGAGGACGTAAACTTACTAGTGGATTAGATATTATCAATAGTAACATACCTACCCCTAGTATAAATAATGAAAAGATAACTAAAAATAATGAAAAGATAACTATACTTGAATTTAAAAAAGCAATTATTGAACTTAAACGCAACAAGTCATGTGGATATGATTGTATTTCCAGTAATGTAGCTATTTATATAATGAACAGCATTAGTAAACCATTATTTTTTTTAATATTTTCTTCATTTGAAAATAGTATATTCCCTAACAAACTTAAATTAGCCAAAATTAATCCAATTCTCAAAAAAGGTGATTGCAATAATGTTTCCAACTACCGACCTATTTCTTTTCTTCCAGTACTATCAAAAGTATTTGAGAGAATAATTTATAACAGAGTTAACAATTACTTTATATTAAACAATTTATTATACAAAAATTAATTTGGATTTTAAAGTAAGTGTTCTACTGAACATGCTATTATTAAACTTGCTGACAAAATATTTAAGTCGTTTGATAGTGATGAGCTGGTATAAGAAATGTTTGTTGATATTTCCAAGGCCTTTGATACGATTGATCACAGTATTTTACTTTCCAACCTAAAATATTAAGGTATAATAGGCTCACCATTTAAGTGGGTTCAAAGCTATTTGTCTAATAGAAAGCAATTTGTATTACTAGAAAAGTCAAGAGCCCTCGATATTACATGTGGAGTTCCTCAGGGTTCAATCCTGGGTCCATTATTGTTCTTAATTTATATTAACGATATGCATAAAGCATCCCAAAAAATAACTACAGTTATGTATGCTGACAATACAAATTTATTTTTTAATCATCCTGATGCAAAGACTTTGTTTGAAACTATGAATATTGAACTTGAAAAGTTCAACCTCTGGTTCATAGCAAATAAATTATCCCTAAATTTTCAAAAAACTTATTTAAACATTTTTCATAAAAAAAAACAATCAATTAATCTCCCTTTAAAGCTTCCTAAACTGCTTATTAATAAAAATGAAATCAAGCGTGAAAAATGTACAAAATTTGCTTTTTGAGTGCTTTTTGATGAAAATTTGTTATGGAGAAACCATATTGGTCTTCTTGAAACAAAAATGTCCTCTGTAATAAGTGTTTTGTATAAGTCGAGGCCTTTTCTCGATAGTAAATCGCGTAATATGCTTTACTTTAGTCTTGTACATAGTCAACTTTTGTACGCAAATATTGTATGGGCCAGCACCCATAAAGCAAAACTACTAAAATTGCAAAGCCTGCAAAACCATGCGTGCAAAGTAATAAACTATTTAAATAGGTTAGTAAACCCGGTCCCGGTGATGAAAAGCATGATGGTTCTAGATTTTGAGAAGCTTAACATATTACAGATATTAGTTTTTATGTAAAAGTATATAAAAAAGATCTCCTACCTAGCGTTTTTTCAGATATTTTCTTGAGATTATTTTCTGAAAAATATAATTTGCGTTCAAATACCAGGTACAACTATCACTTAGGGAAAATTAAATCACATCAGTCAAATTTTTTAATTACAAACCGTGGCCAATCAATATGGAATCATTTTCAAAATAAAAATATTAAAGACCTAAAAAACATTTTATCGTTTAAAAGGGAAACTAAAATGCATCTTCTTAACGCCTGACATACATTTTAAAGTTAACAGTATTTGTTAACAGTATTTTTTTTATTTATCTATTTGTTTTTTCTTCTTCTTCTTATTTGTTCTTGTTTTTAATATTTTTTGTTTTTTTAATTTGTTACACTAAAAAAATATGAGCTTTGTTTTCATTGAGTTTTTATTTTATTTTTAAAAATTAAAGTGTTTTTATAATGGGTGGCTATAGGGGCTCTATGAAAAGGTTGTGATGTTAAACACATCATCCTTACCTTCTTTCAGTCCCTGACTGATTAGAACAGTAAATACATATTATAAAATAAAAAAATATAACATGATTATATAAAAATTGTAATTGTAACTGTTTAATCAGCAAAATAAAAAAAATAAAAAAAAAAATAAAAAAGTAACACTTTATGGACGATGTTTTAGATATGACCAGCTCAGAGCAATTCCCTTACACCATAATGATACAGCTTTGATAATAGAATTTCATGGTTGACAAAAATACCTTTCAAATACCTTTTGCAAATCAACAAACACTCCACCAGCAAACTGTTTATGATCTAACGCCTTGCATATGGTTTCAGTTATATCTATGAGTGCTTAGTTAGTAGAGTGTTTCTTTCGGAATCCAAACTACAGACTATATAAGCTATCTGATAGATTTAAAAAACTAAGCAGCCTGATATACATAAGCTTTTCAATTAGTTTACCTACATTTGAAAGTAAAGATATAAAAAAAGAATCAGGATTTTAGTTTTTTAGATAGTGGCTGAAGTGAAATCTAGGAGGTAAAATTTCTTTAGCAAGATTATTTACAATTGATGAGAAGTAATTATTAAATGTGTTTGTAATTATTTCCTTGTTAAATATAGTTTATTATTGATATTTAAACTATCTATGTTATTGTTGCTCTTTGATTTAGTCAAAATAATACTCTTATTTCTTTTCAGGTGTTCCTAACGTTATTCAGATATATTATTCAGTAGTCTTTTGGCATTTTAAACCTTTACCCAGACGATGGGATGATGCGCACAGAAACTGTCGCACAGTTAGACTGAGTCAGAAAAATGTAATTGAGACATTTAAAAACATCGGGTTCCAAAAAAGATCTAATCAATCTAAACAGCGTTAATATTCTTGACGAACTATTTATCTTCAAAAAATCTCCTAGCAACCTTTTAAAAACAAAAAGACCAACTACTCTACAATCACACTGAATCAAATCACCCACCTCAAGTTCTTACACAAGTCTCTCACTTCATTATTGATCGAAAAAATTTTTCAGAATTAAAAATATTTAACTCATCAAAACTAGAATACAAAGAAATTAACACTTAAACAAAACGGTTTTCAAAACTTCAACTTGAATATAAAACTAAAAGGATAAGACACAATCCCCCCCCCTCCTTCCATTCTCAAAAAAAGTAAATGAAGGAATATAGTTTGGTTTAACCCACTGTACAATAAAAGCGTCTCTACCAATGTTGGACAAATCTTTTTGCGGTTAATTGAAAAATAAATTTAAAAAGCAAGACTAAAAATTTCCCTTGTAGTTGCAAACCAAAAGAAATCTGCCCATTGAATAATTATTGTAAAGTGTAAACCAAAAGAAATCTGCCCATTGAATAATTTTTGTAAATATATAATTTACAAAAATATTTGTCTAAAAATATCATAATAAGCTGCCGCTATCAGCCTCTGTCTGGGAGAACTGAATACTTAAGCAAATTTAAATAGATAATTCAACAGAAAAAACTAACCAAGAAAATAAAAAAAATTACATACTGGGCGATTTCAATTTAGACTGTTTCCAGTATAATAAAAAACAAAATATGACAAAGTTTTATAATCATTTATTCCAAACGGGAACAATAATTATTATTGATAAACCTACTAGAATTACAAATTATTCGTCCTCTTTATTTGACATCATTCTAACCAATGATATTTTTAATATAACGCCTGAAAAAGGCATTGTAAAAACAGATGTTTCTGATCAATTTCCTATTTTTTTTTTTGCATAAGCGCTAACCGCAAAACAAGTATGCATAAAAACGTAACAATTAAAAATCGGGTTTATAACAACACTAACCTAAATTTATTTAAAGAGAAACTTTTGAATCAAGACTGGAGCTATATAAATTTTAATAACGTTACAAACATCTACAACTCTTTTTTTAAAACTTTTTATAAAATCTATGACGCAAACTTTTAATTGCCTGAAATAATTCTTATCGCCGAAGACTTATCTTGACCTAGGATTACTAAAGGAATTACAAAGCCCTTAAAAATAAAGCAAATATTCTATGCTAAATATCCAAAAACTAAATTACAAGAGTGTACAAACACTTACACAGTCTATAAAAATCTATTAAAAAAACTCTGCAAAAAAGCCAAACAAATTTACTACTCGGAGTTGCTTATGAAACACAAATATAATTCAAAGCTAGTTTGGCAAATAATGAAATAAATTACTGATAAACATAAGACAAGCGCAAATTCTATGCCGGCTGCAATAAAAATTAAAAATAAAATAGTTAACGGTTCCAATGAAATTGCCACCGAATTCAACAAGTTTTATTTAACAATAGGACAAAGTCTATCATAAAAGATTTCGTTAACAAATTCAACTCTATAGGGAACTTGATATAGCATTTAAAGCAATAAAAAGAAACAAACCAACTGGGCCTGATGAAATAAATTGGAACATTATAATTGATGTGATTTACTTCATAAATATCCTGTATTCTACCAATCTTTTCAAAAATATTAGAAAGAATAATGTATAACAGATTGAAAACTTTTAAAACTTCTTTATAAAAATCAGTTTGGTTTTCAGAGAAACAGTTCCACTGAACACGCTATTCTCCAAGTAACGCGCAGTATTACCAATTTCTTTAAGGTGGCTCATATAGAAAAAAAATACTAAATTAAAAAAAAAAAAATCGATTTTTTTTTTAATATACCATTCGACGCAAAATTTATCATACTTTCAAAAAATATGTACAGTTTGCATAAAATATTTATAACTATTACCTTACTTTAACTTTTTTATTGGTCAGTTTCATTGTTTTGCTAATAATTTCTATTTATCGAAAAACTTTGGTCGTTGTTTTTTCAACTTTTTAATTTTATTCTTTTTTTGCAACTTCAAAACACAAAATCTAAAGATTATTTCTGAAAATTTCAGCCAAAAGGCTGAAATTTAAATTAAAATTTCTTAAAATAAAATTTCTGCCAAAATTTTCACTGTATGTTTCTTAATCATCAAGATTTCAGATGTACTAAAATAATTAACTAAGAATAGTTTTATCAATTTTTATAACACAAAACATGTTAATTTTTATGTATAAATTTGTGATATTTTTAAGTATTGTGTCCCGTTTTTGATACTTTGATTATTTTTTCATTCTTTTAGTAGAAATGAATGATAATAATGTAATGAAGCTATAAAACAAAAAATTATTGAGTTTAAATCAAAATTAATCTTGAAACATTGTTTTAAATTTATTCACATTTATCCTTTTAACCTCTGATTTTGTTAAAATTTGTTTTAAATATAATTTATTTACAACTTTTTTTACAAAATTTAAGTTTCATATATCATCAAAAGTATAATAAAATATTAATGAACCGTTACAATTTCTTTTTTAAAAAAATTTGTTTTTTCTATATGAGTATTAGAATGTTGCAATTTTTTTTTGTAATATAGATTGTAAAGGGCTTCATGATAAGATCCTATGATCTTCTAGAAGTCCTACCGGTAATATATTCAATGTAAATTTACCTTGTACATATTCTGGCGAATAGATAAATAAATAAAAAAAAAAAAAAACTCTTTGTCTCGTGATTTTCTTTTTTAATACAATAACTTAGACCGAATACGACTTTATAAATTCTAAAATACAATAACTAAGACTGAATTCGACTTTATAAATTCCAAAATAAGTCCGCAACGAATGTAAAAATAAAATCATAACAATCAGATCGCAAAATTAAAAAACTTTGTGGCTTCTTTGGTGATTTGACCGTCGATTTCGAAAAATAAGATTTAGTGGTTCGATCATTATATAGTAGAGTCATAATTCATGATATCTGTTTAGAAAATTATGTGCGATTCTCTAGAATTATGTTCTCGAAAATTCTCGAAAGAAATGATCGAAAATTCTCGAAAATTCTCGAAAGAAATGGAATTCATAGAAATTATGCTCTTATGAACACTTTTATTATTATCTTAATGTAATTCATTTTTGAGCAATTGTTTTAGAGAACTTGAAGACAAGTTTTCTTGTTCTCTTTTTTGAATTTTACGCATTTTTTAACAACTATTTTTATTACTTTTTTTTTCTTTGTTTATATATTTGTAATAGCATTGTAATGAAGAACAAAAAACAATAAAATAAAAGTTAACTAAGTTTGAACCGCAGACACGCAGTTCAAACAGAGTCATAAACTTTTTAAGAAATATTGATTTTTATATAAATAACTAATTCTTTTAAAACTTTTATACTGTTTATCTAGCTGCAACAAGTATTGGTTACATTCAACCTAACTGCGGAAGTTATGCGGGAGGAACTATAATCAAAATTTTCGGTCGAGGTATATGTTTTTTAAATTATTGTTAAATAAGTTGTTTTACCATTAAAATACTCATCTTTAACTTGTCTTTATTTTATCCACTTAAGAAAGTTTTTTAAAAAAATGTAAAAACTTGTTAATTTAAATTACAAAGTTTAATGTAACTTTAAATAAATATCATTTAAATTTACTTTGAAAACTTTCAGAGCGTAGGACATATACAGGATCAAAGAGTTAATATTTAAGAGTTTTTGTTGATCGCGATATCTAATAAGAGGTCATAAAGAACTTTATAAGGTCATAAAGACCTTAAACTTTATAAGGGCCCCCCTTCCTCTTTCTACAACTTCTTTTCAGCTTACACTTTGGTTAAGATAAAGATTTAATTTAAAAAAATTCTGAAAACAATTTTGTTCTAACTTATTGATATGATTTTCACTTAATTTTTAAAATATACTCTTATATTTTTTTAATTATGATTACTACAACTATTATCAATAATTCTTTTTTGTATATTTTTTATTATTATCATCAAATTATAGTTTTTAAAAACTTTACTTGTTTATGTATGTTCTATGTTTATAGAACATACATAAACAAGTATATATTTAAAAACTGGTGTCACTCCTTTGATCAGAATTCTGTTTGAGTGACACCATTGTTAAATACTTATAACTAATTTACTCATTATTATATTAATTTATATTATTTTATGTATATATATATATATATATATATATATATATATATATATATATATATATATATATACATATATCCTTATAGTGTAGTCGAAAGAGCGTTTTAATGTAAAAAAAGTCTCTTTCGACTAGGGTTGTTAACCGGAGGATTTCGAAAGTAGCGGTCTCGGAAGTCGCACTTGCGAAACAAACATTCTTGCCAAACGACGTTTTGAAGTCTATAAAGAAAATTTGTTTGCCAGACTGATTTTAATTGTAAAAATTAACATCTTTAAATCCCAAAATGTTTATAATGAATTTTTATTTTCAGTATAATAAAATATTAAACTTTTATGGTTTTATTTTTAGAAATATTGATAAAAAATAAAATTTCTTTCGAAACGAAAGTATTTCGGATCACAACATACGAAAGAATTCTACGTACGGAAATAAACTTACGAAACGTGCCATAATAAATATATAACGATGTTTTTAAATAACGTATAGTAATTAAATTAGTGACCTGTACTTAGAAAGTTTAAAAAACTATACATTAAATTTAAAAAATCACAGACGGATATAACATTTCTTAAAAACTGTCAAATATTCAATATTGTTCCTAAATTTCTTTTCTATAATCTACCATATACAACAAATCATGACTCTAAATATATACGAAAAAGACTTCTTAAAAGCAATATTACAAAAAGGCAAAAAGAACATAGTAGGCTCAAAACAGATCTTATTTAAAACGTATAGTAAAAATAAGAATGATGGGTAGAAATATACATGTTTTTTTTTTTAAAGCATATGAAATTTTTGAAACAGGTTCGAATATGCTTAAGCAAATAGTAAAAAGAGACTCAAAAATATGCTTTAGCTTAAGCATATTTCTAATAAAATATACCTATTTCAATAATTTCTAAAAGTGTGCACGTTACTAAAGTTCTAGCAGATTTTAAATGTATGTAGAGTCCTGTTTGAATACGCTTTTCGAAGTATAGATCTTAGAAAATATTGTTTTTTAATTTTGATAAGATATAAATTTAAGTATAAGATCGTATAGTTCAATCAGTTAGATATATGATAATTCGCCGCAGAGATCCGGATTCGCATCCCGCAGCCATTGTAACTTTTGTTCATTAAACTCTTTTTACTTAAGATAGCATTTTTGACCTCCATGTTCTATATTACAGATCTTTCGTCACCTTCATAATAGTGACAACCTCTCTTCTGTTACTTATTCTTTTAAGATTGAGTTCATTGTGCTTAATTCTACACGTTTCCCTTGCTTTACTAAGTTCTACTTAAACTATGATCAAATGTACGTAAAACAACTTTTTCAAATAATATAAATCATTTTGCTTTAAATCTTGTGCTTTTTGCACTAGACATCTGTCCTAAACACTTTGTAATAATTTCTAGCTAACTCTGAGTCTAATATAGTCATTTCTGAATATAATTTCCCTGAGGCTCCTACAGCCTATTGTGTTCCATTAAAAGTAACTAGTTTTCGAGTCCAGATATTAATTATAAGCAACTAAAGGTTCACATTACTATTCATTTTCCTGATATAGAGAATCCTATTTGCATACGTATTTCTTTCTGTAAATTCTGTTTTATATAGTTTCTTAATTATATAATAAATAAATACTACTATTCACTTAGTTGAATGAACGTATCATTCAGTTAAGACATTTGGCCGCGGAGACCCAGGTTCACATCCCACTGTTTCACATATATTTCTTCTCTTTTTACTCTTTTTGATATCATTTACCTTTAGAGAGATCTCTCGTTCTTTATAATAAAGTATTTAATTGTTTATCACACATCCTCTTTATACTTTTTAATAAAAAAAGGCATACTGTTTATCTGTTCATTGAGAGTCCAACTTAACGTGATTTTACTGTATATATATGTATATATATATATATATATATATATATATATATATATATATATATATATATATATATATATATATATATATATATATATATATATATATATATATATATATATATATATATATATTACTCAATTATTTTTAATTACTATAATCAATAGAATTATGATTTTTTTTTCAAATTATTATTATCATTATAAAATTATAGTATGATTTGAAAAGGATAATAAATATCTTTGTTGTTGTTGTTGTTGTTGTTATTGTTGTTGTTGTTGCTGTTGTTGTTGTTGTTGTTGTTGTTGTTGTTGTTGATGTTGTTGTTGTTGTTGTTGTTGTTGTTATTGTTGTTGTTGTTAATCAAGTTCAAAATCAAAAGTACAACGTCAGATATAATGTTAAATATGACGTCAGATTTACTTTATGCAATCTTCCGTAAATACTTTGTAATAAAAACTGAAAATAGATTTTATTTGGTACACGCCCTACTTACTATTCTCATTTCCTCAAGTGAATGAGAACGAGGATTTTTACAGATATATCTGATGATCCCATTAACATTTATTAATGTTAAAAACATTTTTAACAATGTTATTCATTAAACTAGCGAGACCACCATTGATCCTTCAAAGTGTGTTAATATGTTGTTACTTTGGGGAAGGTATTCAGGTGTAGATACTAAGAGCAAGGAAAAGAGACAAGATGTTCAAATAAAATTGAAAAAAATTTTAAATTCGCCATTGAAGTTTATAGTATATTTTGTATTTTATATACAGTGCTGTGCCCCTACCCGTACTCTCTTAGCCACGGCTATACTTATATATAAAGTTTATTTACAAATATAGTTTCTAATTTCTGTTTCATCTTTGACTTATGAAGAAAATAAAGATGATTTCATCAAAAAGAATGTCTAAACATCAAAAAGTTCAAAAATTCAATAAAAATTACTTTACTGAAAGTTGGAAATTGTTATAATTAATTATTTAATAATTGATAATTAAAAAATAATTCTTTAGAATTAGGATAATTTTAGACTGGTATTTTGTTTTTATAATTTTTTAAAAGAAATTTATTATCATGTCTGCATTTAAAAATTAATTCAGATTTTTAATAATAATTTCAAATTTTTCTTGTAAACATAGTATATATTTTTCGAAAATGTTATTATAGGCAGGCGCAGTTTTTAGAACAAATCAATTTAATTTAAAATTAATATTTTTTCCTTTCAGTTGCCAAACATATTTTGACAGTATTGTCTCTTTTAAGTATTTTTTATGTTTAAAAGATTGTTTGTGGTTGGCATTACATTTTTTCCATTTGCCCTCGGTTAAGCCAATATATTGAGTTGTACAGGGTTGTTTTGCGAGGAAATAATGCATTTAAAAAAAATATTTTTTGATAAACATTTGCCATTCATAGGGCAGTCAATTTTTTGCTTGCAGTTACAATTTTCAGTATTTTTTTCTTTCAGAAATTCATTTTTATTAATCAATGCAAAATTATGGCCTTTTATAATTTTTTAAATATTTTATGTACAACTATAGCTTACTTTAACAGTGTTTCTATCAAAAATTTTGTGCAATTTATAAGTGAGAGGGAAATGTATGTCATTTATTTTTAAAAATACTTTTCCAATATTTGTTGAAACATTTTTGCTGTACACAGGGTTGAACCAAGTTATGTTTCTATTTCTATTTCGCTTTTTAGCAATTTTTGTTTAAAATTTTAGCTCAAATTTTTAAATCCACTTTTTATGAGCATCTTCATACACACGTTTGGAAGAGTTAAAAATGTTTTTATTAGAAGAGTTTTGATTTAGTCTATTGTTAATTGAAATAGGAATTTGTTTTAAGATTTAAGGGGGATGATTTGAATTTATATTAATATACGATAATTCATCATTAGGTTTTTTATAATGGCCATATGAATTTTCCGAGAGGTTAAATGTGACATCAAGTAAATTCACATTTTTTAAATTAATGTTTTTTTCAATTTGAAAGCCATGTTTTTGAAAACTTTTTATAATATTTTTTCTGGTTTTGTCAAGATGTGGCCCTAATTTTTTTTGCATTATTTTTAAACCATCATTGCGATACAAGCCTAATTGATTAAAATGAACTATTTTAGTTAGGGAATTTAAAAAATATAAGCCTACAAATTCGCAAATTTCTGCTCCGTCCTAACTTTGATGTAACGATTGTTACATCAAAGCATTCGTGCCTGGTTTTTTACATCCACGTCTCGTTATTAAACTAGAGTAAAGTTTTCCTTTAATGTTTAATTAGACGAATAGTGTCGACTGTAATTTAATGTGGATTTTTCCAAACTCTATTGTTTTATCTAAAATTTTGGCTGTAATTGAGGGATAAAAATCATTAATATCAAATTGTATCAATGTGCATTAATTTTTATTACTAATTTTAGAAAACCAATTTATA